GTACTCAGAGGAGATGCCTTCACTGCAATGCAAAAGGGGATTAACGCAATATACTCAAATTGCTAGCAGGAAAATATTGGGCCAAAAGGTCTCCAATGCTGCCCTTCTTCTTTATGGTATTCTTTAACCAGTTACAACTCCATCACAGAATGAGCATTGTTGAATAGAGAGCTAAGCCATTGCTACTTTTCATTCAACTTTGAAGTTGGCCTCCCCTAAGGTGTCACAATATCATTGGGATCTGAGGGATATAACAACTGGTGTATTCACCAACAGCTAGTAAATTACAAAATTCTGGACTCAAGTAGAAGAGAAAATCACTCAGCTGACTAGCTACTCGATGACTGTCAATATTAGCAACAATCAGCATTGAAATGACAGTTACCTTGCTTTTACTGGGCGGGAGTGATTCAGAAATGGTGAATACTGCTTGGGAGCCAAAGAGCAGCTAAGTGAGGTGCACATTTTGTATAATTCAGACTGAGATGAAAATTCCAAACAACAAAATGAGATGAACCAGTCAAGGTAATTTTCTTCTTCTTTCTTATGTTTTCAGTGAGAAACGGTATGCACTGCAAAAGATTTAAAGCCCATAGAGCAAAGATGTGGTGGGGGCATTTACAGAGTGTGCTGTCTAAGGGGGTGTAAACTAGAGGACCGGCAGGTGGGGACAGAGAGACAAAGGCATAAATTCCATGTCTTGTGGACTTTGTTGACTACGTGTAAGCTTCAGCTGTTAACCTTGAGCAGAAAAGTCAAGAGCTCTCGATCAAGTAGGACATTCTTGACTGAACCCCCATCTGAACTGGAGAGGGGAACATAAAAACAACCATACTCAATTGCCTTGCATGAATGAGCACCTGCTTTATTTTTTATATTCACCCTCCTTATACACATAATGTAGCTTCTAATCAGTTGTTGCTCTTATGCTTGACATTTAGACTCAGAAATTCATTATCCATGTATCCATGAACATATATATATTTGTGTATACTTATGTGTGTAGGAATCAGCTTGTAGACTAGTGGCTGTGGGTCTGGGTTCATGTGAATTTAGAATCCCTGATCTTTCTCTCTCTTCTGTGATAAATACATACATAGATAAATGCAAATACATAATGTAAATACATACAGGTATGTGTGTATGTATATATGAGCAAACCAAAAGCAACTTGACCCACAAAAAAGAAATGTTATATGGCTTGAATCTAATGTAAATGTTTGTTTTGTAGTTACTGAACATACTCTCTCCTCCAGAAATTATAGCGTATTTTTCCTAGAAAAAAAAAAAATTTGCTGAGCTGCCTACCTGTATTTTCAACATTTCCCATATTTTCTATTGACATGTTTTCTAATTCCTAACACCCTACTTCTAAATCCTACCCATACTTGACGACCTGGTTCCAAGTCCATACCAGATGAGAAAGCCTTTTATAACCCAGTTCCTTACTCATTCTTCAATCTTCTATGTTTAAGTAGCATTCATAAGTTCTATCACATGCTTTACTGCTTAATTTTATACAGTCTTTAATTAGTTGCTCTACTAATTAAAGAATTACAATTATAACCTGACAACAGGGGTCCATCTGGTACATAATATTTGTAAATCTCTAAGAGCATTTAAAAGTTGATCAATTATTTTCTTATTAATAACTAACATGTCAATATAATTTTACATATACTTAAACATGCCCTCATGTAGGGGAAGCAATTCACTAAAAAGAAGCCCTGTGATTATGTTACATACAATTTCATTTTATCCTTCTTGTGCCTCTTTTGTCATTGTGATTTGAAATGTCAGTGCCTTTAACACTAATATTTAGGTCACATAAAAAAATCCATCTAATCACTTCAAAGAACACTGTCATAGATAGTCACTCATTTTCAAATGTTTTTTTTTTTTTTCATTGTGAAATAGAACTGAGATACAGTTCATGTCAAGCTTAATGAATTATCATCACTTGGGGTTGAAATGCTCCCTTGCTCTATCTCCTGCCCATTGGCATCTGGCTCCTTAAGTTTGATCAGACTAAATAGGTTCAATCCCTCTGGTGAGACTGTGGAAGGAATTATGTTCTTCCATCAGGAGGTAGATAAGGTCTCCATGTCTCTATTTTTATCTTAGCAGCCTTGCATTCTTAATGCCCCAAACTATTTGTTCACTGTGACTGAAAAACAGTAATATTTGAATTCTATCATTTGGTTTTTATCGGTTAGTTGGAACAATATTATAAGGAGATGCTGTCCCACATACACTGTTGGTTACACAGTGATAAAGCTGATTTGAGAGAAAAGTGATACATATTTGATACTTTACCCAGTCTTCAAAATAGTAATTTGGTTATCTGTCAACATCAGAAGTGACCAACTTTTACTATCCTTTTCCTTAAAATATATTTATGAATTCATGCATTCATATTTGTTGGGTTGCAATGCATTAAAACTCTTATTTTTGTTGAAAGTCACATTGTTCTCATCTTTGGTCTGTAGAAATCTCTTTAGGTTGCTTCCTGAATCCATTGGATTTGATGCTATTAGTCTTCACTGGTACCTTGTGTCAAGATGTTTCACATTCAATTGTTGATTCCTACACTTGATCTTAGCCAAAAGGCCGAGAAGCGATTAATTGTTGATTCCTGCCTCAGACCACAATCTTTACCGAGGCCCTGTTTCTTGCAAAGTGAAATATTTGTTCAAAATCCCAGTTTGGGCTAGGGATGCTTGCTGTTGTTGGATCATTGTTTCTAGACATTATTGACAGAACTAGAACAGAGATTAAGCACCTTTTGAATTTAAGCTCATTTTTCACAAGATGTTTAACTACTTCTATTTTACTTGGGTGTCCTTTCATCCACACCAAAATGCTGGCCCTCAAAACATATGGGATGAAAGAATTTGAACTTCTCATGTTTACTCACTTGCATTTTGCTGTATTGTATTAGTTTCAGAATAATACTATGGTTAATAATAATTATTCAAACATTATTTTTGCCTATACTATCACTATCCTCTCTTAATTTTTGTCTTATGATTTCATACATCTATAAGAACATGTAGACATCACAAAGTAAAATCTCTCCCTTCTAACCCTTACTTAGTTTTAGTGTATTTTATTTGCTCAGCACTTAGGAATTAGGTTGATATCTCCCCTGGTCATTTTGAATTTTAAAGCTCATTTTCTTGTAGTTCTCATGGTGAGGGAAACAATATAACAATATGCCCTGATTGCTGGCAAGCTGGTAACAGTTTAGATATGCTCTTTATTACTTAAAGTTCGCTTTTGTTGGCTCTAAAAATCCTTGAATCACATTTTCGTACCTTAAAAGTCTCAAATAAATTACTCCAGTTTCTTCTAGCATAAAATATTGGTCATCAAAAAGTCTGATAATAATCTAACTTTCCCCATATAAGTCATGTATTCTTTCAGTTCATGTACCAGGCAAAGGGTCCAATAAAATAAAATAAAATAACTGACCAATTCAGAACCTCTCTCATTGGTTTTGGGTATGGTTACCCATCACCACAAATCCAAACAAAAGGATGCAATTCATTGTAACCTGCTGGGGAGAGGTACACAGAGAAGGTCCAGTTACTGACTGATGGTGTGAGGTTTTCATAAATGTTTGTTTTGTCTAATTGTCCACCATGCATATATCCAGTATTTGCTTGTGTCATTCAGACCTGCTTTACTATGAATAATGCCCTCTTGTACCTTTCCTTTTACTTTAAAAGGCAACATTTCCTCTTTCCTAATGGCTGAGTAGTATTCCATTGTGTGCATATACCACATCTTCTTAATCCAATACTCTCTCTGTAGCCCTTAAGGTTGTTTTCATGTCCTAACTGCTGTAAATAGTCCCGCTATCAATATTCTGAAGCATATCATTTTTTGAGTTGATGGTTTTATATTCTTCTGATAAATGCCAAAAGTAGAATTGCTGGGTCATATGGTATTTGCATTTTTAGTTTTTTAAGGTAAACCTAGAGACCAAATTCCAAAACAGGTATACCAGTTTACATTCCCACTAACAGAGTAGGTTTCTTCTTTCTCAAAACCTCTGCAACACAATGTCAGGGGTCTTTTTGATGTGTGTCATTCTCACAAATGTGAGATGCTACCTCATTGTCGTTTTGACCTTCATTTCCTTTATTAAAAGCAACAGTGAACATTTTTTCCATGTATTTGTACATATTGACCTTCTGGGTCTCCTTGGTGAGATGTTGGTTCATATCCACTGACATTAATTAATTGGGTTGTTTGGCTTTTTTTTGTTGTTGTTGTTATATTGAATGAGTTTTTATATATATCTTGGATGTTAAATCCTTTTAAATTATATAATATGTGAAGTTACCTCCTATCAAATAGGTTACCTTTTAATCAACTTATATGCTTACTTATATTCTTAAGTTTTTATGACTGTTCTCCTATTTTTATCTGGACTTTCTCTTAAATTGTTCTCTATTGTTTCTGTCTTGCTCAAATTTTGAATGTTTCTTAGTAGTTTGTCCCCAATATAAGGCTGTCCAGGAAAGAGACTTTGCATGCTAGTTTTGAATATTTATATTCACTGTTGTCAAATTGGTCTGCCAGGGCATATAAGAATTACCTAAGGTTACTGCAGAATTATGCTGTTTCCAAATTCACTGCTTCCCTATGGATTTACTTACACAGATGCTGATAACATGTAGGCACCAAGGTTATTGATGACTAGTCCACATCCACCTGTACTGGGCATAAGAGTCTGCTCATCATCTTCTTTTGTTGTAAATGTCCAAATGTTTTGGGTATTCTTGCTAGTCATTCATTCTCTTTTTATGTGGATATTCAGGAATATCAAAAAACTATCTTACCACCTTCTTCCCAGAACCAAGCATGCTTGTTTTTAAAGAACAATTTACTTAATAGATTATGTTAAATTTGATTTCAAAAAAAATGTTTACCCTGAGTATTTTAACACATTAAGTAAATAGCATGTTCATATTCTTTCTGTTTTTCTCCAGAGTCAAGTTCCCATTATGTAATCTCCCTAAAAGCTTTTAACAATGCAGGAGAAGGAGTTCCTCTATATGAGAGTGCCACCACCAGATCTATAACAGGTAAGCTGAAACAGTTAATCCTCTGTGACAAGGTAGTCAGTGCTTGAGTTATGGTAAAAAAAAATCTAGAGCAAACAAAACACAAATTATATAAAGATAATGCATGTAATCATATACTGAGCTATGTGTGCACACGGCATGTACATACACAATTGATCAGTTGATTGATTTTTGGTTTTCAAAACCCAAAGTGAGAGGAATTCGATCTTAATTGGTAGATGAACTTAGAGAATATGGATCTCTCATCTCTCTCTTTCAGTAGCTTCATATTTTAATGCCCTCTTTCCACTCTTCATACCCTGATCATCCTATCTTATTAGCCAGTGCAATATCGGTAGGATAAAGGTTTTCTGCACAACGGCTGCTGAATACCCAAATGGGCACTTGCTTCTCTGCAGAGGGTCCTTCAGGCTAATATGACAAGGATGAACTGAACTCCTGGGGCTGGTTTGGATGACTGAGTCATGCAGGAGACTTCTTCCTAAACTGGACCTCCAGCTCACTCCAACTGTGCCCAGGGCCTTTGCATTTAAAAATATATCTGACTGCTTCAAGGGGTTGACCAAGTCTAGGCAGCTGTAAAGACCACACATGAGAGAAAAGGGGTTCAAAGAATTTAGGGAATGATGAGTAAGTCAGTTCCAAGCCATTTATGGAGACTTATTGTAAGCAAGTTTATTTACTCAAAAATAGAATAAGTAACACCTCTGACAAGGCTGGTCAGAGTCACTAGAAAGTAAGATCACCACTGTGAATAGCCTGATGTCTGAAATCAGGACAGCTCACTAATGGATGCTCTGATCCTGCCCCCTTTCAAAACCTGCAATCCACAGCCCTCCTTTAACATATCAGCTAATATGACCTTCATGAGAATGAAGGATCTAAAAGCAGGATGTTGTTGTTCCCACCAAAGACCATGGAGAATTACTGGATGCTGACAGGTAGCACTATATGAACATGAACTTAACAGTGGGATTCTGTGTGAACATGGTGCAATGAGTTCTCCAAACCCATATGCCATTCATAGTTTATTTTGAGAGTATACAGTTCATTTGTTAAGTAAATCCTTGGTTGTTATGTGACAACCAGAGCATACTATCCCTTTATTGATTTTGAACAGATTTTCTTGTAAAGAAAAGTTGTCACTCCGAAGTCTCCTGTCTGAAGGGATATGCAAAATTTGGGGTACATGCCAATAAACTCATTGATCTGTAGCGAGTGTATATCATTTTCATTGTATTATCAAAAGAATTCATGACTCCCAAAAAGGATAAATAAGCAGTACAAGCTTAGAGAATATTTTCTATGAAAGGTGTTATCCCTAAATTTAGAGCAAAAGGGCAAATGGAAGTCCAGGACAAAAGCAATGAGATAACATGGGAGATGCATGTCTGGGATTTTCACTTCCCTTACTCTTGTTGTCCAGTACCTGGATATGTTGAGAGCTGTGGGCCACTTTGCTGTCCCAGTGCTTCTCTCATTTCCATTTTCAGTTGCCTCTTTCTTGCCGATGATAAAAGACACTGAGCAGCTGATTAGGTCACACAAATTATACCATAGCCAGTCTTTTAAAACTCCAATATATATTTTTTAATATATTTTTTTAGATTTATTTATTTATTTATACAAGCACTGGGTATAGTCAGAAGCGCGGGAGGGTGAGAGAATTCACCAGAGCCAGAGCGGGGAGCAGAGCAGGCAGAAGGACCGAAGTACACTGCTGAGGGGAGCAGCGGGCGGCAGGAGAGGTCTGCGCGCCTTGTGGGACCCCCCTCCCGTGGCCAGGGAGCAGCTGGGGATCGAACCGGCGCCTCAGAGGCTGCGGGCAGCCTCGCAACCCAGCGCTCAACCGCTGCGCCACCGGGGAGGCCCAAACTCCCATATTTTTAACAAAGCTAAAGAGTAGTAACAATAGCCACTTAAGGGACCAGGAAAAAAATCAATTTTAAGCAGAAAACAGTAGCATAAATAGTGGAGTTCAGAGAAATTGAAAGTAAGTTGTTTAGAAAGAACCACTGAGGCAGCCGCAACCTCTTCCCCTTGTTGTTTGTAGCCATTTTAATTCTAAGCATGGGCCTTCCCTGGGTGGTGTTTAAAACACCAGCTATCCACAAGACAGTGTCTTTCCAGACATCACTAACCCTAAGGACGCTAGGAAATGAAATTACATCAAAAATTAGAAATAGTGTGAGGAATTTGCACATTGAAGAATAACCAGTGAGAGGTGGGAGAGGAATGAATGAATGAAGGCCTCTCCAAAGGAAAAGTGTACACTTTCCCTAGTTATGGCAGACATGGTTTTATTTTTTTATAGCATGTGTACACGTTATGACAAACGTGTGGAAAACAAAGGACAAATAAATAAAATTGAAGGAGAAGCTCTATCAATAAATGTGTCAAAGTGTCACAAAGAAGACATTCTCTGTCTTGGAGTGTCTGTGAAGTACTCCCGTGAGCTATCATGGTAGAGGCCCGTGTAAAGTAAATACCAAGTCAGGCAACCAGTGCAGCAGGCTGCAGTAGCTGCCAGGCCATGGTGCTCCCTACGTGCACGTGTTTATGTGTGTTGCTGTGCTCTGGAGCCTCATCTCAACCTGAGACTATCAATATGGAGCTGCTGCAAGTTTTCCCAGGTCAAATGGGCAGCTTAGTAGTTTTACTTTTGCTGTAAAGTCTTTTATTTTCTCACTGTTGCAAGAACATGGCATTTTGATCCTGGGTCAGGGAAGAGGGCAGGGGAATACTGAGATGTGTGATTTAAATTTGTTTCTTTTCATCTGTGTGGTCAATGTCTAATTGACGTACAATCCAGATGTAAAATTGTGTTATACTTTTAAAAGCTTGTTGAACTGAAAATTCAGGGGCTCTTACCAAAGCATCTAGTAGGAATTGAATAGGCTTCACTTTTTAGCAAAAGTTTTGAGGCTATGCTTTGTATGCCTATATGCATGTATTTACTTTTTTGAATATAATCACTGAAAATCAATAACATAAGGTACCCAGGAGAATGAAGAAAAAGGGAGGAAAAAAAAACCCTGAAAATTAGTTGTTCAGCAACAAAACATTTTAAATTCAACTATTCAAACTGTTTCTGGCTGGGAGAAAGAGCTCATTAGCAATAGATGGAAAATATTTGCACTGAGAACCGTGCTGTCCACTAGGAAATTCTGGTTTGTTGGAAATGCTCTGCATCCCTATCTCCAGTGGGGCTGGCACTAAGCCTCTGTGGCCATTGAGCACTTGAAATTGGCCAGTACAACAGAAGCAGCATTTTTCATTTTATTTAATTAACTTTAAATTGTCTATGGAACTAGTGGCTGCTGTATTAGCACAGCTCCAAAGGAGGTAGCAAATGGAAGGACAAACCATGCCTCGAAAAAATAAAATGTTCCCTAAAATAGGCAAGAAAAACTTGGCCAAGGGTAGACATGACATAAGTCCATAGGCAAATACCCAAAGACATCATGACTTGGAATTTGAAGGACATATTCTGGAACTGAGGCTCCAAGAAACTCAATGAGTCATGAAAATCTTTCTAGAATCCAGAAATAGTTGAATGGATTATCACCATTTCTCGAAGCAGAATAACTGCTTTTCAAAACTTTACACCTGTGAGAGGCTGTAGAGGTGGTACAGGTATACCAACAAAACTGGATTAAGCAAAGAAGCAAGAAACTCATTAATTTAGGTAGGTCCAAAGAAGAGTCTAATTTTGAGCTGTGCTTCTATTTGTAGAACCATCTTAGAAAGTCAGCTGAGAGGGGCCTCCCTAGTGGCTCGCCTCCTGCTCCCCTCAGCAGTGCATTTCAGTACATCAGCCTGTTCTGCTCCCCACTCTGTCTCTGGTGAATCCTCTCACCCCCCTCATCTCTGACCTGCACCTCAGCTCTTGTATGCGTAAATAAATAAATAAATTAAAAAAAAAGAAAGGCAGCTGAGCAAAGTGAGGCAGCTCAGTAGCCACCTGATGGTGATAGGGACCTTCCTGGAGGCTACAGCATCTTCAGCAACCCCTTCATCATTTCATAAATCCATTTGGGTATAAAGGAACCTTAATAAAAAGTCACATCAAAGGAAATAGGGAAAGCTTGGCTCTGTCATTAAATTTTAAACACACATTTTTCTTCCTCCTACCCCCGCCCCATTTCCTTTTGTTCTGTTTTTGTTTTGGGGTTTTGTATTTTGCTCCAAAGACCACGGCCCAGTAAACTAATAAATAATTCATTGGAAAACAGAGTGATGAGTAGGGGATAGGCATTTGAAATGCAGTGGACAAAGTGAAGCAATCATCAAAACCAGCCAGCAGCTGCTGCGCTTGGAGCCAGGCTGTTTAGAAATATAAATGTGTGTACACGGCTTCAGATACTCCACATCTAGCAGGTTTCCCCTCCCCAACTATCATCACAGGCCCAGCCAGAGAGCTCATGTCATTTTTTGGCTGGTGAGAGTATCTAACACATGATGTAAAAGTAATTTTTTTTAAATATAAATTTTAAATATAAAATGTAGGGCTCAAAATGGAACTCTGACTGTAGCCTCAAAATAAGTACCTCTGATATCCCAGCATAAAGTTTTTTCTAGAGATTTTGTGAAAACTCACATCCTTGTACGGATTCTGATTGTGTGATGCATCAAAGCATGTGAGACACCCCAGTCTGTAGGTAGATCCTTCTGTCTCTCCATCCAGTAGAATAAACTCTTTCCACCAGACTTGAAATTTTAGAACAAAGAATGTATAATTTCAGAATGCCTTAAAAGACTAAAAATGTAGCCAATTACTCTGTGAGAATGTGGGGAAAGTGGATACTTCTACAATTTTTCTAAGAAACCTGCCATACCAAGTACTACCTGAAACCTCATTTTCACATATGTGGTTGAAGTGCTTGGACTTGGTCAACTAGCTTTGTGCAACATCAGCTTAGACAGAATGCGGCAGATCTCAAGTCCTTTGGTCTTTACCATTTGTTTGTTTTGCCTAAACCATGTTTATGCAGATATAAACTAATATTGAAAGCATTAGAGAAAACAAATTAGGTTAGAGAAGGAGAAAAGCAAACATGAAACCAAAGATATTAGTTAAGCATTTATTTTCTTTACAGGAGTGAATCAACCAGACACCCCTTTTAATCTTGTTATCTATATAGTGACGAGACGGATTGATTCTATGCTAGCTCTTTTAAGAAGCAACGTGCAACATTCTAGGAAGAAATAGTCTTTGCAAAGGCATATTCAAGTGACAATCAGCTTGATAAAACCACTCTAAAGCAATGAGTAAATCATAGCAAATAGTTATTTCTATAATGTAGCAACACTGTTTCTAATGAGTTTCCCGATTGAATTAATTGTATTTTTTTCTGTTCTTCTCATGTTCCCTTTCATCATTATTGCCATGCATTTAACTCATTGTGCTGTGTTGCCACTGATGTTTATTTTTTTAACTTTTCTTTATGTATTTATTTGTTTGTTTCATTTGGCGGGTTTTTTTAACCCAGACCCCACTGACCCAGTTGATTATTATCCTTTGCTTGATGATTTCCCCACCTCTGTCCCAGATGTCTCCACCCCCATGCTCCCACCAGTAGGTGTACAGGCTGTGGCTCTTACCCACGATGCTGTGAGGGTCAGCTGGGCAGACAACTCTGTCCCTAAGAACCAAAAAACGTCTGAAGTGCGACTTTACACTGTCCGGTGGAGGACCAGCTTTTCTGCGAATGCAAAATACAAGGTGAAGTGCTCGTTGATAGTATGGCATTGAAAATGAACTGTCATTTGTTTAATACAGTGCTTTAAATGCTTCCTGGGCTGTCATGAGTCATTTTGCTGCAGTGACACTAAATGGAAAAACAAAGCATTTTTAATCGCTCAGTATCTAAAATTAGCACAGGAAAAATTGTGTCTTAGGAAACAATTCTTAGGCAAGGTAGAAAAGCATCAGGAGCTGCAAAATATTGTTTGAATTCCACCAGATTCTGCATTCGTGTCAATAATAGGATTCTGTACAAGGGAATGTCTTTCCCTTTGAAAGTAGCAGGACTCTCCACATTCATTTTCTGGATAGATTTTGGTATTCTTTTTGTTTAGAATCTAGATTGACATCCAAGGCAACCCTATTAATGTTAGAAACCAACTATCACAGAGAGAATATGGCTGGGAAGATATAATTTGAATATAGTTTTAATCACCTCCGTAAGCCATTGACATCGACATGCTTATCTAGCCTTGAAACACCCTCATGTAGCAGAGAGACCACGATTCATATTTCCCTTTAACTACTGTCAATTAGACCAGCTCTCATTCCAGTCCTGTGGACTCAAGACTGAGCGATCCCAGGTCCCCTAAGACATCTTTAGGGATACTAATCTTGAGGCCCTCTTTGTCACTTTCAAATCTTAACAGCCTGTCTTAGTAACGCTAATAAATAGACAATTTGTTACCTCTAAGCCTGCCACAGTGTTAGTACACACAAGCAATACACCAGTGCAACCCAAAACAAGATTAACAAGTGATTTATCAAGCACCTACTACCTACCTTAAACTGCACTAGATCAAAGAGGCTATTAAATATGGTTTAATTGTTGTTCCTTAAGATATTACGTGTAAGTTTGGGATGATTTATATATGCAACTCCATCAGTATATTTCAAAGAACTCTAAGTTATTCAAATGAGATAATACAATGCTTGATAAGATGATGACTTAGGACAAAGAAGGCAGCTTTTGAAAATAGGTGTGCGAATGTCACCAGACAACCAGGGAACCAAATAGCACTATCCTCTCTCTCCAGCCTTTCCCTATCCCCCTTACATCCCATCTCTTTACCCTCTGCTAGGGTAGCTCTCAGGGAGAATTGGATATCCTGCACTTTATCTGAGGTTCTTTCCACCATACTACCATCTCTCTAAATCCATCCTCAAGCCAGTGGTGAGTTGGGGGAATGAAAGTACCCTTTGAGAATTTCTGATTCTAAAGACCCTGGTGATTAAACAAAATCCCATCCATAATTTTGTACTTCAGCCTCTTTAACTCTAGCCATGCTGCATCTGCTTTGTCCCTTTCAACTTTTAAGTGGCATGAAATTCACATTTCATCATAAATCAGTTTTCAGTTGAAACCATTTAAAACACAGTTTTCTTTTGTACTGCTGCCCTGCCAGTTCAGATATTTGGGAAAACTCTCCAGGCAAGTCCAAATAATATCATCGATATAAGATAGGTTGTAAGTACCCTATCCATCTCCTACCAGTATTCGATTTAAGACTCAGCAGAACCATAAATAAAAATAACATTATAAGATAAGACAAACAACGAAGCATATCACAGCATTCAAAAGAAAACAAGTTCTCTTTATATACAGATGGACCAATTTTAAGTTTACTTTTAAAAGACCACTTTAAAATTTTTATGTTCATAATTGTTGTACTTTGTAGATACATTCATTTCATAGAATGGCCCTGGGTCCTTTGCCAGTATGTGAAATGTTCTGAAGGACAATGATTATTCTCTGCAGAATGGTTTGAGTTCTAAATTTCTTGAGGCAAATTATTTCAGTTGAATAGTTAATATGACAGACAGAATTATTGACTCTCACAAAGGATGCCTATAAAGTGAGGCCCAACACAAAAACTATCCTCTAAAAGGAATGACTGGACTTTTCATGGACTGAAGTTTGGGAACAGAAAAAATACTTTTAACTGTTTTCCTCCCATCACTTTCCCTGATTGAAGGCTTTAATTACTAACATTCCACCCTCCTCCACACACACACACATTATGCATTTTGAACTTTTGAAACCACTGGTCTCTCTATTCCTTCACTCATGTCCCACTACAGCTTTGTAAGCTTGGCAGAGCATACACAAGCCAGAGGAGGGGAAATAAATACATGGAGCCCTTGACCACCTGAGTCTGCCCTGTCGTGTCATTTATCTTGTTCGGCCTCATTTTTTCTCATCTGTGTGATTGCGATACTTACACCTGCTGTAAAAAGAATGAGTAAAAGTCTCCATAGATCAGTATATATATATATGCAGTTTTCTTTATGAAGGCACAGGTAGGTTATATAGCTGGGCAAAGATTCCTCACTAAACTATAGCTGGAACTCAGAGGACCTGATGGCATTATCCAAGACGCTTCCCACAGGAGTATCTTCTACTTCATTAGATCTAAATCAAGCCATAATTCAGATGTTTATATTTTGATTGACTCTGTATTGACTTCCCTGATCAAATAGGGAATTTTCTATAATTTTATTCTAGTAAGGTAATTAAACACCTGACACTATATGTGATTTCCATTCAGAATACATTCATCAACTATTCTGTGGTCCTTACTTGCTATAGCATAGGGTCAAAGAAGATGCAAAGGCATGCAAGACTGTCTTACCTCTCAAGGTGCCACAACCCACAGGGAATTTAATGCAAGCTTAAAATGATATGTCACATTAGACTGTGCATGAAATATTATACCTAACATTTAATGCTTAGTCTGAGGCAGACACTATAGACACTTAGTTCACACTGTGAGGTCAATGCTATTGTTAGGTTTTCTAGATATGAGAAACTAAGGCACAGAGAGGTAGTATCTGGGTATTTTACACTCACAAATATAACTGGCTATAATTTTCCCATAGTATTTCTAGACTTAATGATTAACAATGAGCTGTAACCTTCATGAAGCTAAGAGAAAACTCAGTGAATCATGGGATTTGTAGAAGTCAAGTGTGTCATTCTAAAACAGAAGCTTGGATAGTGACTCAAAGTGACCATCCAAAGGCCAGTGACCTCTATATTCAGAAAGACTAGTTTTATCAAGGTGTGAGACTTGCCTCCTCAATGAAATATATCTCATTGTCTCATTTCTAAGACTTAGAGGTATCTGTGATTGTAAAAGAAGGTAAGATTGGAAGTTATGTATCAGTGTATAAGGTACAGCTGCCCATTTTTCATCTTATTTGATGAAAATATTTCCATCTTTCTGTGTATACAAAGTAGTTCTACACTTAACTGGGGCACACATTTTTTACAGCTATTTTTAAGAAGAGCTTCTGATAGAAGTTTACGAGGTCGTCACTTTAATAGGATGGATGAGCACATCATCGAAATGTTATTAGTGCAGTTAAATATTTATTTGGTTTTGTAATGAAATGTAGAATTTTCATAGCTATAACCTATGAGGGATTCATAGTAGAATAAAAAAGATGTACCACACTAGAGTAATAAGGAAAGTGATCGATATAACATAGATGGGGGAAAAAAGATCTTTCCTTGGTTTTCTAGACATAACTATGTAACAAATGCAATAAATATAAAAGTAAAAGTAAATATTTAAGTTTGGAAAAAGATCAAAATCCAAATACCAAATATAAATTGATATTTTTAAGAGACATAAATATTCTTAAATTTTCTGGATTGTATGGAACATACACATTAATTTGGGAGATTAATCTGTAACTACTCAATTACCATATGTATCTTTTGAATAAGCAATAAGGAGATAATTTAATTTCTACAAAAATTCCTTAATCTGCTTAAAGGACAAAGAATGGATTCAGAAGACATGTGATACTAACACTGATGTAATCTTTTTAATATTTACCCCATTTGTTCTATCTTTCCTGATCAGCTGTTCTACTTACCATCTTAAAAGAGTTTTTAACATTAAATGTGCACAAAGAAAGAAAACCACATAATATAATTTTGCTTTCATCCAATTTATTTATAATAGCCCAATGTATATGGGGATCTTTAAAAGTTTGTACATTAAAGGTTTTTTTCAAACATGATAAACAGTAGAATTCTAAAAATTAAGTTTATTACTAGTGGAAAATGCTCTAGATCATCCATTTAAAAAAACAGCATTAATACATATTAGGAAAAGATATTGATTACTATAGATAGAATTAAGTTAAAGTCTGTGCAGGTAACTTTAAAAGTGGAATTGACAGAAGGAAGTGGAATTTGTCTTTTTACTGCAGTTATCGCCTCACTTGGGATAATTTACCAGCTAGCTGTTGAACAACATAACTCCTGATTTTTATCGATCATGTGTTGGATGTACAATCAGCCAATGTAAACTGGTTGACATTAAAAAAGTAGAGACAGTTCTGTGTCCTAGCTCTCTGCTATTTGGAAATGGACTCCTTTTGTACTAACTTATTTGATAGTTTTTTGGTTTTTTTTTTTTTTTAATGTCTTGATTTACCAAGTTGACAGAGTTGATTTTTTTCTCTTTATTTCCTGCTCATATAGTCAGAAGATACAACATCTCTGAGTTACACTGCAACGGGCCTCAAACCAAACACAATGTATGAGTTCTCGGTCATGGTAACAAAAAACAGAAGATCTAGCACGTGGAGCATGACAGCACATGCCACCACATATGAAGCAGGTATGTGAGGAGAGTCTGGCCTCCAATGGCTGCTTTTGACAGTTGATAATGCTGGTTCCCAGGCTCCGTGGGTATTGGGACATAGGTACACTATCCTGTCTGAATCACACTTTATGCTACATAAAATATTTTATATGATAGTTTTTTGTAATTTTATATCTAATATTCTGCCTACTCTAGAAAAGAATATGAGTCTCTAGGGGACTAGGTCGTCTGGTTTTAATTAACTCAGGAAATTTGAATATCAGCCTTCTTTTCCATACATTTAGGTAAAGGCAGACATGCATGCATTGTACTCAGTCCCAAATAAGTGTGTTTTTGATCAACAATCACAGTTGGCATTTACTTTTGGGGAGAGAAATTAGCTGTAGTCCTATGAATGTTTGCCCTAATAACCTTGGCTAGATCTGGGAAGATACTTCAGCATGTTCAAGTTCACCTTCGGAAATAGGATAAAAGAACGGAAACCCCTGTTACAATTGGAATTAATTCAAATGCAATTCACTGTAACTTTTACCAGTCATATTTACTCTGGAAAAATACCTGTTGATTTTATAACTTTAACAGATATGCAGTTTAGTTGACATTTATAATTCAACATCTGAAGAATATAGGATTTCATATGCTTTTTCACTGATTTCATGGTATTCTATTATATTTGAGGGTAAACTGTATCACACATTTCCAAATATTTAAAAATTATAACAATAAAACTCTTTGGGTAAGTTGAATTTCTCTTTCTATTTGAATTTTTCCATGGCATTGAAGTTCTAATATTTATTTTCGGTTCCTATATTAGCTCAGAGAGTTCACTGTGAATATTTTTACATTTTTCTAGTTTGTCTGATTGAATTTTAACATCCTTTTCTTCTGAGTATTTACATATATTGATTCTTGTCCTAAAATTCTAGATGATGGTGTTCACAGCTTCTTAGGAAGAGAAGACAAGTTGAGTGAACTATGTACTGTGGGTAGAATAAGGGCCTTGCTCTTAGTGGAAAGGAAAGGAACTGACTGTAAATCACTGAGGCATTTGGTCTTCCCTGAGTTAAAGAGGAGTGGTAATTTTCTCCTTACACCAACAAATCCATCTCTTTTCTTCTTTCATGAACATAAAATGTACCCCAACATCTGACTTACTAAGTGCACCCTCTTGATTTCTCATCAACTGCCTATCCTTATAGGAACACCAATAGTAAGACCCATTGCTGACAAAAATATATTAACTTTTAGAAATGTGTTTAGTAGGAAGAATGATTGTCAAAACAGATAATGATCTGGACCAAAGGTGTAAATAGCATATGGCTGAGATCCCTGGGTGATGATGAGAAGCAAGAAGTAATTCACAAGTGTCTGCAGATTTTATAACTGTGAGAAGGAAATGAAGTGAATGAAATAACTCTAGGTTTTGCTTAAAATTCTGCAATAACATAAAATCGTGCAAGGCTGTGTTGTTACTCACTTGTCCTGAAGTTGCTCATGATAAAGATAAGAGCAACCCGCAAGTTCATGAAATCTAGTTAAGCCAAACAGAAAATCTGGAAGGACCTCTGAAACAATTAGATCTTGGAAAAGAGCAGGAGCCAATATATTCTCAGGCATTAGACATTGGGAGATACTGGACTGTCCCCTCCAGGGGGTGCCATGCCAAAGGCTGGACTCCACGTGCAGTCCTTCCTTATTAAAATCCAGGTACCGGGCCTCGAGCGCGCAGACCTCTCCTGCTGCCCGCTGCTCCCCTCAGCAGTGTACCTCGTCAGTCTGTCCTGTTCTCCGCTCTGGCTCTGGTGAATTCTCTCACCCTCCCATGCTTCTGACTGTACCCAGTGCTTGTATAAATAAATAAATAAATAGATAGATAAATAAATAAATAAATAAATATTTTTTTAAAAAGTGGCATTTGGGGCAATACCTATGTTACCTTCTATTTATGCATTTACCAGAGAAATTAAACTGTGGGGAAAATTATTTAAGAACAAGACCAACCAGGGGCAGTGTCTGTCCTTTATACCAAATGCTAAGTATGAATTTCCAAATAAGTTCATTTTTAATTGTTAAGTCCTGAGATTGGGACTTGGTGTTAAAGGTACAGGGAATACAGTCTATATTGTTGAGAGGATTATAATGCAGAAGAAAAACTATTATTTTAAGTAGCCCTGAAGTAACAACATGAAAAAAAAAATGAAATTTTGAGCAAATTGAAATCAGAGCATGGAAAGGGGAGATTCCACAAAAGAAATGATGTTTGAACTTTGGCCTAGTGGGTCATCAGTTATCATTCCAGAGTCTTCCACATGAATGGAGCACTCTTTCCAAAAATACACAGCAATGGGCCTCCCCTGGCGGCGCAGGTGGTTGAGCACAGCACTGTGAAGCTGTCCTCACCCTCTGCAGCACCGGTTCAGTCCCCACCAGGAGGAGAGATACCCACATGGCACGGCAGACCTCTCCTGTCTCACCCGCTGCTCCCCTCAGCAGTGTTTTTGGTTCATCTGCCTGTTCTGCTCCCTGCTCTGTCTCTGGTGGGTCCTCTCACCCTCCAGTACCTCTGGCCCTTGCCCCAGCTCTTGTTATACATAAATAAATAAATCTTTTTAAAAAAAATACACACGCAAGCATCAGAAAGGAACAACTATTAGAATAGCGTGAGGAGACCAGGGCATTGTATTCATAATACAACAAGGGGAATCAGGCTGTGAAAGCAAGAATATAAATTGTGGAGGGGCTCAATTATTACTTAGTGTTATTTGTTAAGATTTTAATGCAAAGAGGATGGGCAGTCAATAAATAATTCCTAAAATAATTCTCTAGACAAAACCCATGGGGTTGGAAAGGAGCAAACCAGAGACATTCTGCTTGACTTAGGAGGAATCATTGATATTTTCAGTCATATTATTTTTTTCCCAAATATTAGGGAATAGTGTGCATTTCAAAATCCTAAATCTTTGAGATTGATTCCAGTGCCTAAATCTTTGAGATTGATAATCCTAAATCTTTGAGATTGATTCCAGTGCCAGAAATTTTTATTCATTGGTTTTCACATGATAAGAGAATGAAAAACTTGCACAACACTAGAAATAGATTTGTTTTTAGATATTTTGTTATAACCAACTCTTCAATGTATTATTTTGCTAGCTTAAGTAAAGAAGAGTCATCATATCTTTTTTGAATACCTAACAGATTCAGTGACACAACCTAACCAACATTTGACCATTTTCTAAATAAACATGAATGTGAATTTTACGCAGTTAAGATAAATGGACTATTCTGATGAGTCAAAAAGACAAATCCGTTAATTAATTTTATAACTGTAAAATTCTTGATTATATTTGTATAATTCTATTTGGATTAAAAAATGTTTTCAATGAGCTCTTTATGAGAGTGGTGCCTCTTTAAGATAGCATTGCCTTTTTTATATTTTTCTATAAGCAATCATCTTTTCTTACTAGAGTCTTTTTGATCTTATTTCAGTTCTATACCTATGTGGGTCCTTACTTTTGTGATCAAATACATTTTTTAATTTTTTTATATCATTGTTCATTTTTAAACAATATTTGCTTCCCCCCACCCCCTCAGGTGTAGTCCCCATAGAGTTTCCTTCACCCATGCACCCATGCACCATCACCTCAGTCCGCTGTGCTTCTCCCTCCCTCCCTCTGATCTCTCTCCCCCCTTTTCCACTGCAGGATGTCTCTGGTTTATAATTGTCTGTTTTGGCTTTGTTGTGTTTTGTACTGTTATTATTTTTTTACACTGATGTCTTATTGGGTTCCCCTATATTCCTGCTATAAGTGAAACCATCCAACATTTTTCTCTTTCCTTCTGGCTTATTTCACTGAGCATAATTCCTTCTAGCTCCATCCACGTTGCTGCGATTGGCATAAGTTTATCCTTTTTGATTGCTGAACAATATTCCATTGCATATATATACCACATCTTCTTGATCCCGTCATCTAATTTTGGGCATTTGAGTTGTTTCCAGGTTTTATCTATTGTAAATAGTGCTGCAATAAACATAGGGCTACAGGTGGTCTCTTAAATCAATGTTTTTCTGTCCTTTGGGTAGATGCCTAGCAGTGGAATTGCCAGGTCGTATGGTAGCTACATTTTTAGTAGACTGAGGAACCTCCAGACAGCTTTCCACAGTGGTTGGACCAGTCTGCACTCCCACCAGCAGTGCAGGAGAGTTCCTTTTTCTCCACAGGATCAATTACATTTGGTGTATGTTTTCTGCTCTTTCTCCTCCTCTTATCCTATTCCTTCTTCTCTTCCTTCTCTTCCTCTTTCCTTTCATTTCCTTTTACTTGTTTTTGTCAGAATATAACAATTAGGTATAAGTTCAGTTAACCTGGAGTCTTAGTGACTGTGAGAATCAAGGCATTGCTAATACAATGGCATGGTAGATGGAAATATTTGGTATATCTTCTATTTGAAAATCTATTCAGGGAGATAAATTGGGAATAGTGTTCACAATACTCAGATTGTGCACTGTACAGCCAATGAAAGAGCCACAGAGAATTATAAGAGTAAAGAGTTAGGAATTAGGACCAAATTGTTCCTATCGTGTATTACATAAGAATTTCTATGCAGCAATCAGCACATTCCTCCAGAAGCTCACTATGGAACCTAGGTATGTTCAAAAATTGCCCATGTCAAAGGGTAATAAAAATATACTATAAGATAAAAGACTGTAAATTATCTACAAAGAAAACTAAAGAATCGGACCTATTAGAAAGCAGATTGAAAGAAACCTGAGAGTTATTACCACCACTCTAAAGTATATTTAAAATCTTGTTGAGCACAACATGTGAGGAAGGTAGTTCTAAGGAAGGCGAGGTTTCATGCCATCTTATTTCATACTAAGACCCTCATAGACTCCCTACCATCTCTATTTTCAAATATTTCTTTGCTTTCTTGACATCTAGTATGTTACTGTCAAGATGCAAAAGAAATATCCCGTACAAATCATGCCATACCCCTCTGGAGGCTTCTAAGCTTGCAAGTAATCAAACAAGCATCAAAGAGATTGATAAGAGAAAAAAATCAACAAGAAATTTAATAATAACATGTAAACCCCCTGTGTACATGGGGGAGACCCAGCATGACTGAATAATTCCTACATGGACTGAGATGCAAATTTAAATAGCTTAGCTAAGACAAGAGAGTTTGGGAATAAGAAAGGGTAAAATCTGTTAGAGAGTTTACCAAGGAAGGCACAGCAAACAAAGATATGCAGATCCAAGTTCTGCCTTCTCCACTGAAAAGAGATAAGGAGATTATATTTTCCCAGACTGAGAAAATCTTTACAGAGTGTAGTTTATGTAAATATCTTTTTCAAAATCAACCTCTGCCCAGACTTCAGAGTCCCTCTCATGAAATCTCTTGTCAAAGACATATTTTGGGGTGGCAGTTTTTTGTTCCTCTATTATCTAAGCCAAATGGTTTAACCTGAGTCTCACTCATTCTTTTTTTTTTTTTTTTTTTTACTTTTAAGGAAATAATTGGGAAACATTTCCATATATAATATATAAGTCTTACATTTTTAACATAATTCTGTCTCTTGGAGACATGTGGTGATTAGTCTTACTAAATATGTATATGTAGGGAAAGAAAAATTATATTCCCTCCATACTTATATGTCCTTAACTCAGAAGTCCCAGAAAAAAAAATATATATCTTCCAGAAAATAAAAAATACATATCTTCCATATATGTGGGAGGTACCCAGAGAAAAACTAACTCCCCAAAATGGCCCAAGTAACTGTTTCAGGGCAACCCCAATATGAAATGGGTTGCTTGACTGTGGGTCCTCACCCATGAGCTTAAAGGGATTTAGAATAAGACTCTACTATAGCCACACACACACACACACACACACACACACACACACACACCCCAAAGGCTAGTAAGATTTTACCTACAAAAGAAGGGGAAATGAAGAAATGAATAACCAGGGAAAAAGAGAGGGAGATAAATTGGTCAATGTGTTCTACCAGTTCCACTGACCTAGAATCCCAGTATAATGCTGAGAGCTGGCAAAAAGCAAGAGTCAAGCCAAGAGGACTCCCAAGGCCCAGCTGTCTGGTTTTATACCAAACCTGGCTGCTTAACTCCATCCTCGGGTCCCAGCAACCCTCCCTTTGGTGATGATGGGATTTGTAATTCCTGGTGTCTTGATGGCTTTGGTCTGGAGTGGGGGTGGAGTCCACAAAACCTGTGTGGAGTTTGTTCAGGATATATTTCCCCCCCAACATCACCACTTAAATACCATTTTAGCTAAAGACAGAAGATAGAGGATGTAAGTTCATTATGGGAAGTTAACAGGCAAAGCAGAGTAAATGAGGGGATGGTTGTTATGGAAATTCAAGTCACTGCCTTCTCCACTTGACTAGAGTTTCTAGAGATTTGATCACTCTCTGGTACAGAGAAGGACACTCTTACAAATGCAGTTTCCTCTTACAAATGTAAATATTTCTTACAAAAGGGTAACCTTCTTAATTTTTAGAGCTTTTCTTTGGTCTGTTGTTTTATAAAATAACCAACTAAAAATAATCTATGTCCTCTGTATTCTTATTTTGGACAAGTAAGCAAAATAGCATCAGGTTGATTAGCAAAGGAAAAATCAATTTAATGACATAGGTATGGAGAATTTGCTTGGCTGTAAATTTTAAGAATGGTATGAGCCAGAAATAGTTGTGTTTAAGGACTAGGATCATCAAGGACAGAGCAAGCTGGAGAATTTTCTTAGCCAAGAAGGACACATTCACGGATAAATCTACACACAGACAATACTAACCCTAATACAAAAAAGGGAGGTGGGGGGGGGGCAGTGATTGCTTTCAATTAGGAAAAGATCAAACAGCCAAGGCAAAGGATGTGTTTTCTTAGTCTCTATGATCTTCACTGCTTTTAAAATAGTTTGCATTTGTAGGTAATGGTAAAGACTAACAGGGACACTGTGGTCTTTGGGTTCCCATTCCATGTGACACTCAGGAAGAGAATTCTTCTAGGCATAATGAGGAACACCTGTTTGATCTTTTTAGAGAGATGGATCCCACAGGGGTATATTTTGAGGTGATATATTTAGCTTCTCGTCATATATGATCTACATTTTTAATGTAGTACCCACTTGAAAATACCTATTTTACTTTTCTCCTGCACATCCACTCGTATCCTATTCTCTTCTCTATATTTGCAGCTTTGGAAGTCACTTAACTTTGTTGGTGAAAAAAAAAAATGTTAATTTCTATATTGACTTATTTAATGCAAATACTTGATAAATTATAAATGGTAAAATAAGCATGACCTGCTGCATGATAGATTCTGAACATCGACATCATGATTACAAGTCCCATAAATGTCTCTTTTCTTTCACATCCACTGACAAGGCCTTGTCTCTGTTTGTCTCCCAGCCCCAACCTCTGCTCCCAAGGACCTGACAGTCATTACTCGCGAAGGGAAGCCTCGAGCTGTCATTGTCAGCTGGCAGCCCCCCTTGGAAGCCAATGGGAAAATTACAGGTAAGCACCTCAGTGTTCTTTCCACCTTTACTCTATTTGCCCTTGGTTGCTAACCTCCAGCCCATGATGTCTGCCTATTAGTTTTCTGGCCCAGCATCTCAGTTGACTTCCTGACCCATTTTGATTATCTCTTCTTGCCCCCCACTGATGGTGGAGTTCTTCTAATGGTGCATACACATACACGCACACGCACACACACATCCGCCCACCACCCCACCCCACCCCCGCTGTCTCCCGTACATGTCTTCCTGAAAGCTGCGTATTTCAATTAGTAGAGACCTTTTGTTTTTCTTTCTGTGGAGCATTAGGACAACCTTCTCATGGAATGTCTCGGAGCATTAATGACTAACAAGAAGCTGGTTGTTTGGCAATTATAAAATACAAAGGCACCTAATGCCCATAATTTTTTTGTATGTATTTTTTTATATGTAAGGAAGGTTTCTCCACTTTCAGCTTCTTACTTAAATCAAAAGGTTCTGAAAACACTTAATATTGACTGACAGAAATTGATCTTAATGAATATTTCCAGTGACAGATTTTATTTTGCCAAATATTGCTGATAACATCAATGCCTAATTAAAGCATCCATTAAAAGCCTGTAATGTTAATTTAGTATGAAAAATATAATGGAGTTCTATCAGGGATTTTGCATTTAAATGATCACTTTAAGCTTTTAATAGATGTCTCCATAGCATATAATTATTATGAAAAATATTATATAACATAAAATGTGCACATTATAGTCTAATTAACTGGAACCAGTGGGTTAGGCACATAGGACAGTCACTCCTTTTTCTTCCGTTTTGCATACAAGAGGTGGGATAGCACTATTATAAATTAACAAAGTAATTCAGTCATTCTGTGATACAGAGATAGGAATGGAAATTATAGTTCAGATGGCACACTTTACATGAGTTACTTTCTGAATTTTACAAAATGAAAACATAATGTGAAAAGTCCAAATGTGATTTAAGTTTAAGTTGAAAACTTGTTTTCTCTGGGAAGATTGTTCTTAGAGCTATAGCAAATAGGATTTTTGTTTGAGCTGAGAAATACGGAAAAAGAAGAGGGACGTAAAATCTCCTCCAAATCTTATATGCTCACTTGTCACTGTGCCAGACTTTTTAAAACCAAGCCTGGCTCAGTCTAATTTCCTTTTTCTCCCCTTTCAGAGTTATGATTGACTTTCATTGGTTCTATTTCAGTACTTTTGTAGATTTCAATTTGTTTACATGATGACTATTTTATTATGTTATAAACAATTATTTATAGGCACATGGTAAATCAACTGATAATAAGTTTAAGAAGAAAAAAATAGAAAAGAAACTGAATAAAATCAAGTTCTGATAGAAAAAAATGTATTTTTGATAAAGGATAAGTCATATCCTACCCAATTCTCTACTTGTATTTAAAAAAATCTCATCAAATAGTCGATATAAACAGTGGAATGTGTTTTCAACCCTGAAAGGAAGCTTAATTTTGCTTTTTATGGGAATGAATGGAAGTCTGTCCCCTAATAGGAAATGCAGATTAATCTGGGCAATAAAATTCAGCGTGCACAATCACGGTGCATGTGTAGGAAACTTGTTCACATATTTTATTTAGCATTGTATGTTCTCACCATTACAAAGAAAAAATCCAACTGAGCCCATTTTAAAACTCCATTGGCTGTTTTCAATGATTCATGAATCATGAAGAAGTTCTGAGAAACTGTACAGAATGAAAACTCCCATAAGCAGAAGGGAGCAGGACAAGGAATAGATAATTGTGAAAAGTGGATGCTCGTGCAAGGTCACATTCATTTGGGGGATGACAGGAGTCTGTTGAGCAGATGACCTCACTAGCACTGCCCAGGTAATTCCACATTAGCTAGTGTACGAGTCCATTCCTAGGAGGAACTGAAACTGTAATTAATAGGTTTCATCTGTTGACTGGGACTTGAAATTAGTGACTCTACTTTGGGCCTGTAGTTTCTTTTCTTTTCATGTTACTAAAACTCCGTTGTCTCACATTGGTAAAGTAAAGGAAGTATTATTTTGACCTCTAAAATCCTAGTTCACTTATTAAACCAAGCTGTAATTGTCAAGTGGAGATACTTTTACTTAAGGGGAACAACTAAGAATCCTTAACAATTTCTGATCCATGCATATATATTTTGATTATTCCATTCATACTACTTTCAGAAAATAAGATGATAAAATATTTGAAATAGCATATCATTAGGCAGATGACCCAGCTTTGCTACTCTCAATTTCTCATGAACTTTTAAAGGGAAATGTCAGCGTCCTTCCACTCTCGCAGGGCACACACATGTCTGTATGGAGGGAGATCATCTCATCCTACCTGCGTATTTCTTTGTTCTCCTAAGTCATTGCATGTGCACAGCTGTAGACCAGGGTGGTTATGAGTTAGACTTCTGAGGGAGATGCGTAAACAATCAGTTAACCCCCAAGACAGAGTTTTTCATCTATAAAATAAGGATAGTAATAGAACTTCTTCTATAGATATGTTGTGACAAAGTGCTAAGAAAAATCCCTGATGCCCAAGGAGCACTGAAGTAAATTAGCTATTATTATTTCAACTTGAAACCCATTCTAGGGCCAGGCTCCACTCATGTTCTTTGCATAGAATGCAGACCATCAGTTTTTAAATATTTATGCTTCAAGAAGATGAAATAAAAAAGAAGATGCAAGAAGAGATCTAGTTCATTCCAATGCCCAACTTTCTTGACCATAAACTGGTGACTTAAGAATGAAATGGAAAGAAAATGATTCAAAATGAATTAAGAACTTATTATATGCTTGGCATTCTGCTGAGCACTTCAGTGTTACCAGTCATCATAATTTCTGTTGTTTCATTTTGAAATCGAGATGAGGGACTTCTGGGATAAATAACTTGCTTAATGTCAAATGGCCAAGAAGTAGCAGAGCCAGGATTTAAAACTCAGGCTCATACCCTTTAACTATTAGGCTGTGTTTTGCGCCAACTAATTAGTATTCCACTGGTCAAAATCAGTGGCTCTCAGCTGATTTATAATTTCATTTATCTAAGGATGGATTGAGCATAGTATTTGTTTAAATCTCTCCCAAGTGATTTTAATGTACAGCTGGAATTGTGAAGCATTGATCTGTTTAAATGCAGCATCCAACATTATTTAAGATCAGGGACCAACATAAATAGAGACAGGAATTAGATTTTCAGTTTGTTTCCTTATCAATACTTTCTAATGTTTAATGCTATACTCCTTTATCCTTTGTCACTTGATACTCTAGTTCAGTTCCTCTTCTTTGAAATTTTCTTCTCTCTTGGCTTTTGTGAAATCACCTAGCCACTTTTCTTTCTGCTTCTAGGCTAGGACTTCTTGGTTTTGAAAGCAGGTACTTCTTTCCCCTCTTCCTTAAGTGTTTCTTCTCAAAAATCAGATCTCTTTAATCACATTGGTACTTCCTCTGATAAAGTGTCTAGACTATAGCCAGACTTCAGCAAACATGCACTTATGCCTGTGAAATCTGTCTCCATCCAAGGAGCTTAAGTACACACATCCTACCTCAAATTGCACATTACCTTTTGCCTGTCATAGTGACACTTTATTCCATTCCCCAGCCCCCATGTCTCCTTTTCCTTTTTTAAAAAATTTTTGTTCTGTTTCCCACCATCGCTAGCCAAGTAATACACTGTTACTTCTGTAAAAGACACTAAGACCTTCCAGATTATGAACCCAGCTGGGCATTCAGGCTGGTATCAGGCATCTACATATACTCTCTCCCTTGTTTTCAAAGGTCTCCACACTTAACCCAATTGGAAAAGTTAAGAATGTAGGCATCTATACTTCCTCTCCATCCCCTTTCCATATAGTTATGAGAGAAAATCAAACTCCTTGTGGCGCAAGGCCAAACACTCCATGGAAACAGGTTTCAGATTTTTCTGAGTGTTTTCTCCCCAGTAACAATATTCTTGACATTTTAAAAAACTAACACTTATTGAGTCATATAAGCTTTCAGTTGCTATTAAATTGTTAGACTTGAAATCAAAGTTCTAGCTCTCCAAGGCACTTCCTTAATCTTTGGTAATACTAAGAAATAAATCATTGATGTAGTATTTACAATTAGCGTATAATAGATAGTGCAATAGAAGTACCTGCGTGAATTAAGTTCTTATATTAAACAACTTGTTTATAGGTAAGAAAATTGAGACACAGAGTAAGCAAGTCACATAAACTAGTAAATGTTAAAACTATGACTTGAGGTCAGGTCTTCCTGAATCCATATTGTACTCTTTTTAGCACAAAAGAAGAAATGGGTCCTTCTTATATCCAACTATATACGTGATGATCAGAATCAAATATATAAATATGACAAGCCTCCCAGGACTGAGCACCTGCTGGGAGAGCTTATGCCAAGTGCCTCAGTCTTCTTGTACTGAGCAGCCTACCTGTGTCACAGAAGGGAATTGTTAATGAGTAGGAAGAGTTGTATGGACAAGGACAGAGGAGGTGATTGTGGTGCAGTCCAACACTCTTTGACACTTTGCTACTGACATTACAACTACCTGTTTATATAAAGTCAGATGATAGATCCATTTTGTTACATTATGTAATACATTTAGACAAATGTCATTCCAATGTAGATGTCCCAGGAGTTAACACTTAGTTCTGGAAGGTTTTACAATCTCATACAGTGCATAATGCTTCATTATTTGACCGGTTGCAGTGGAAATAAACAAGAATAAAATAGAAAAAAAAGTAAGAGAAAAGGATGAGAAAAAAGACCTGGACCCAGAGAAATAAATAAAAAGGTACAGAAAGACCATGAGTAACCAATGACTTGGTTCCATCCTGTGTGGGTATATGAAAATCTTTAAGGTGAGACTTCAGCAATAGATTTAATATCTTTCAAACATACCAAGGTCACACATTCAAATGAAGTTCTGTGCTTTCTGTGAGGCCAGTTTTTACAGTTTTGAATGATGTATTTCAGTTCTTGAATTTATTTAAAAAAAAAAAGACTTTCCCACAGATGTCAGGAAATTGCTCAGATATTTGGAATTTTCAGACTGTGATGCTTACACCTTTCAACTTGACTTAATTGATGCCAGAACTGTCATTGCTAAATGCGTAGTTGGGTCATTTTTAGACAGAAAAAAAGCACAATGAATGCAAATACTTTATTTTTACTTCATAAATGAATAAAATAGGGAATTTGTGTAGCTATGCTGGCATGGGAACATAGTTCTCCAAATTTTCAGGTCCATCATGCACTTACAATAGCCCAGGAAATTTTTGATTTAAGTGTCATGAATGTAAAACATACATGCTTACCATGCAGGAGATTTCATTCAGTAAGTGAGTTTCAATATCTATTATGTGAAGACTATTTTATTAGTTTTTTTTAAAGAATAAAAAGTAATATAAGATACAGCTCCTGAACTAAAGGAATGTTTTTATTCTTTTAAAGAGATAAGAGCATCTCATAATAAAAGCTAAGAAAAATATTACTGGTACCAGAAACTTCTATTCAGTAGATACAGTTCTCTGGGAACAAGAATGGAGATTGTTCTGGGTCTAAGAATATTAGGAGATTTTATTGATGTTGATCATGGGGATGAATTATAAGTGAATTAACATTCATGAGGCAAAAACAACTCCTTTATCAAATGATATTTCACAACCCCTTTTGAATTACAGTCCTCTCATCCCACATATCAACTCAAGCAATGATTTCTGGCCTTTCATGAACATGAAAACCATCTGCAGTGAAGTTTTCTGGGATTATGCTTTTCCTGTTGTGTTACCTATTACTGTGTAATACTATCTCAACAAATTTGGCTTAATCATTTGTTACACATTTGTTATAAGGAACACTCAGTTCCTAGCCACATGGTCTTCTTCATTTGACTGCTTGGATTTGACTACAGATCAAAGCCAATGTCAGGATGCAAAGGAAGTCATCCTGTACTCCTCTGGGTTTTTCTAGGCTGGGAAATAATCAAACAAGCATCAGACAGATTGATAAGAGAAAAAAACAATAATAGGTTCAGTAGTATCATGTATATATCTTGTACACAGGGAGAGACCCAGCATGGCTAATTCACCCATGTGACTTCAGATGCCATTTTAAATAGCTTAGCTATGACAGAAGGACTTTGTGGAATGAAAGGGAAGGTCAGTTAGGAAGTTTACCAAGGAAGGCACAACAGACAAAGGAATACAAATTAAGTTCTGCCTTACTCATCGAAAAGAGATAGACTAGTTCTTCCCTTGTATGCCCTTGCAGAAGTTATATGCAAATATATTTTTCAAAAGTAACCTCCACCCAGCCTTCAGAGTCCCTCCCATGAAATTAGTTTTTGTCAAAAAATTGTATTGGGGTAGCAAAAACAACTCCTTTATCAAATGATATTTCACAACCCCTTTTGAATTACAGTCCTCTCATCCCACGTATCAACTCAAGCAGTGATTTCTGGCCATGCTTGAACATGAAAATCATCCACAGTGAAGTTTTCTGGGATGATATTTTCCTGTTCTTTACCTATTACTGTGTAACAGTATCTCAACAAATGTTGTGGCTTAATCATTTGTTACATGTTTGTTATACAACAAATGTTGTGTAACGTTTGCTTCCTGCACCAACTTAAGGAGAGACTATAGAGTCTGATAGGAAGACAGAAGTGATTATCTCATGTAAAAAAATCATGGGGGCCTCCCTGGTGGCACAGCGGTTGAGCACTGGGCTGCGAAGCTGCCCGCGCCTCTGCAATGCCGGTTCGATCCCAGCAGCTGATGAGGGTCCCGCATGGCACACAGACCTCTCCTGTCGCATCTGCTGCTCCCCTCAGCAGTGTACTTCATCAGTCTGCCTGTTCTGCTCCCCGCTCTGGCTCTGGTGAATTCTCTCACCCTGCCACTCTTCTGACTGTACCCAGTGCTTGTATAAATAAATAAATCTTTAAAAAAATTATATTAAAAATAAAAAAATCATGAAAGTGATAGTCCATCACTTTTGCCGTTTTCCATTCCATCACTTTTGCCGTTTTCCATTCATTAAAAGCAAGACTTAGGCCCTGCCTACAATCAGGCAAAAAGGATTATGAAATGATATAACTACCAGGAACTGGGTAAATTAAGGGTTGTGAAAACCTGTCGTCCACACGTATTAAATCAAAATGCCCCCTTTTTGGGGGGAGGGGGGTGTATTGTAATATGTACCTAACCCAAAGGTAATTCATCTGATTAGGCAGTTCTGGGGAACACCAAACAAGGGAAAGGGTAAATGCCAAAGTAAAACAGCATTGCACCTTAAATCTTAAATTCAGATTTAAGAGAAGTGTACCTCTAGATTTTAAAGGTTGCAACATTACTTAATCTTCAGAATCACATAAAAAAGAAATATCCAACTCAGTAACTAGAATGCATCCTCTAAAACCAGGAGATTGATGAGTGAGACAAAATCATGTAAGTGTTTTTATATTTTGTTGCAGTAGATTAAAAAGTTTACAAGAAAGAGATCTCATAATTGAGGAAAGTTTCATATGTTGCATCTAGCTTAAATTAGACCTTGATGGATGGGTACGATTTGGATAAAGAAAGTGACGAAAGGTAGCGTGGTGTGAGGAGTAAGGGAGAGGCAGGTATAATCATAGTATGGAGATCAGTCCAGAAGTGTTTGTGCTGAGATTTAGATCATTTAGATCATGCTCATGGTTATTTGGAGGAGGAAGTCAATCTGAGTCAGCAAACACTGACTTAATCATTTTGTCATGATCCCCAAGGACACGTGAAACAAGTGGAACTCAAAAGGAAGAGATAAGTGAATCAAAAGAAAATTGTTTGTAAGAATATGACCCACAAAGAATGAATTCAAAGAGTAGACCTGGGAATATCTGTGGCCCATCTGATGCAGATGTTGTGGCAGAAACAGTAACTTACCATATTCATGTAGCCACGATACCAATGATGAGCCTCTTTACAGTTTCATCTGATAACACAAAACCAAAATTATGAATTAATGCTTTTAAATACAAGCTTATGACCATGTTATCTAAACATCATGTTAGAAAATGAGTGCTTTATAGGGATGTCTGGATTTCTTTGCATATTAGGCTATGCCACAGGAGCACGCTATTAACATTCAAGGAAATACCCCCTAACATGGAGGGCAATTGATACTATCAAATGATAGATTATTAATATTTGTGATCATGGCCTTAAAACCTACAATTATCCAGAATATGCTTTTCTTTTGCCCAGGTGGGATGGACTAGGGAAAATAGTGCTGGGTTTTTAGTATAAGATGTGATCCTGTCCTTTTACCACCTAGCTTGCATACCCTCAGGTTCATCCTCATTGAAAGGAAAGCAGTAGTGCCCTGCCAGCCTCCCAGAATTATTACAATAATCAAATATGATCATTTATTTTTATAGCGCTTTAAACATGTGCAGTATTTTATATTTTTCAATGCATTTTTATTATTTAAGCACAAGCCAAAACAAACATTACTTATTTTCATTATTGGACTGCAGTGGAAATTATATAGACTTGTTATCTATGTGTTACATTTTTCATGCTTATATATTAGAGAAAACCAATAATCAGATTTATAGGCAGCAAAAACCTCATATTTTTAAATATGACAAATATTTCTATTTCTAATGGCTTATTCCATTTTCAGATTCTGTACATTGAAGCAATTATTTATATAATCCGTGCAATATGAAAAAAGCATTACTTGCCAAAATGAATACTATAGTTTATAGCTTATGAACATAAAATAATCAGTGCAAATTATATTTGAAAAACAGGGTGTTTGGAAGCAGACATATAGAGGCACTGGGTACACTAAACAAAGTTGCATTCATCTATTTATGCAGCTTACATCTTGTTTTATACCTTGGACAAGAACATACCAATTGATGACTGGATTATGGAAACAATCAGCGGTGATCGCCTTACTCATCAAATCATGGATCTCAACCTTGACACTATGTATTATTTTCGAATCCAAGCACGGAATTCAAAAGGGGTGGGCCCCCTCTCAGATCCCATTCTCTTCAGGACTCTAAAAGGTTTGAATCATTTCCTATTATTTATTTCTTTTCCTATAAGATTGTTATAAAATGGCTTTGGAGTCAGTGTTAGGAATTATCCCACACTATCTCAGTTGGCAGCATGAATACAGTGGACATTAAAAATCAATTAAAATGTACCTTTTTATGCTGAAAGCCAGAATGTCAATGAAAGATCTATTGTGTTATCACATTTTCTGCCATCAGCCCTAGGCAGACATATTTAGACTGACATTTTTTTTTTAATTTACAATGCCTTTGAAATTTTGTATTGATTTCATGTATAGTGGTTCTATTCAAAATATAATGAGATCCTTTAGCCATTTCATGTAAAGGAATAAAAATTAAAAAGCATGGAACTATGTGAATGGCATACCATTGCCAACTTTAAATATGTTTTAGGAACTATTGTCCTTACACATTAAAAGAACTTTTGATGTGTCAAGACAAAAAGCCTCAAATAAAATGAATGTGTTTATTTTAAGGACCCAGGGTAAAAAACAATGAAATAAACAAAAACACTAGTGTGATTGCTAGAAGAAACCTCCACATGCTTGCAAGAAAATAAATAGCTATTCAATTTAAGCATAGTTGTATGTTCACATAAAGATTCTAAGCTCCAAGAATAGTAACTACATCAAAATGATTTTCATATGAGTCCTTACTATTTTAGAGCACAATATTTTTCTGGAGGACAACTTGTTTCAAAAATCTCTATTATTTAGGAATAGAAAATAACTTGTTCCAGAGCTGAAGTTAAAGATGTATATGGAGTCACGATGTGTGTTGTTCTAAAGGATACTTGGTTCTTAAATATGTGACCACATTCTGCCTATTTATATCTGGCTTGATAATGCATGATGGCAAACAACTGAAACATTAGAAGTACATGAATAATTGACAATTCCACCCAGTTGCTTGACATACTGAAAGAACAGTTTTGGAATAACTATGTGCTCTGTTACTGCCATTCCTGCACAAATAGTGGACTTTTGAATTCTGCTAGTGAGCTATTAAAAAACTAGACTTGCTTACAGCTAATCTGAAAGATGGCTAAGAGCACACAAACATGCATTTGGTCTAAGCTGGAGTGACAGTTCTTCATGACAGAGTAGAATTGGGAAAGAGGCAGGACGAAATGAGCTAATCTTCTTCTATCCAGGTTTTTAGGAACTTCATGTCTAAATCAGGTTTTACTCCAAATGAGCAATTGAAAGGAAACTGGTTATTCATTTTGTGGAAGCATGAAATGTAACTAGATAATGTTTCACAAATGCTTCATCTTTATCTATAGACAAGTGCCAAATTAATTTCATGCTCACAGCGTGTGCCAACTAGAGATATCAGGAGGGGTTTAAGATGACTTAAGGCGTCCAAATGTAGTAAGCAGCAGGGTGATGAGTTATCACAGGATTTACAGGCCCACACTGATCACCATCCTGTAGATTATTTAATGAACTAGATACCTCATTTGGTTCTGTTTACCCTAAATGCCCAAAACTCGTCTGTGAAATGATATTCAGAACTAAGAACAAATTTGGGGATTTGTTACATGTCATAATAGTCCTCAAAGGTCATTATTAATATCCTGATTTGGATGTTGAATGTTGCTCTCCTACATGCTACCAGTGAATTAGATTTTAAGGTACATCTTGCTCATTTAGTAAACTAAGTTTGTTGTCTTGACTGCATTCTTAATTATGCAGAAATATTGACCCTGCACATCTCTATCAATATTTGGCATTGTACATAAATGCATCTTTTATGTAACTTACAGTGTAACTTACAGCAATAATTCATCTGTAAAGCATTGAAATCATAGTTAACCAAAGGCAACTAAAGATATAAAAGCATGCTATTGCTCTCTGATTTAAGATATTCTGTGTCCTAAATTGCTTCAATACATAAGACCTCTGTTAATCAGAATTCCACTTAGTTTGACAGAGAGAAGAGCTGACATATTGTCCTGAACTGAGGAACTCTCTGTAGCCTGTTTGGCAATGGGCAAGTGTTTTGTTTCAAGTCATGCCCCAGGGGGTGTCCACAACCCGCCTTCTCTCCCATCCAGTCTAGGCAAGGATAGAAACATTTTCTTCTGGAGACTTGAGTTTATCTTTCAAGTCTTAGTTACCAGCTAGAGAGTTACATGAACTCAATCAGTAATCACTGGTTAATTAAAAAACTATTTATAATTAAAAAGGGATTAAGTTACCCTTATGTACTGACATATATGTGGGGTATCTGATTCTTTATTTGGAATAGTAATTAAAATAATCTCTAAACTTGAATCTCTGACCACATAGGACTCTGCAAATCCCCACCTCCCTTGCCCAAACCCTCCCCATTAGGATATGTGTTTACTCTCAAACAGTTGGAAGATTTATCTCTGCTGTCACATGGGTTGTCTCCTCCAATAAAATAAGCTTCTCCTTGTTGGCCAATTAAGTGATAGGGAGGAAGAATGTTCCCACTGGAGTAGGACACAGGATTTCTGTGAAGGAATGAGGTCACTCCCTAGACACAAAGGAACAGAGTCTCAGCAGTGAAAGAGTACTTGAAATTTTCTGAGCATCCTTAATCATTCCTCTGACATGTGTCTGTCTCCCATTCAAGGATATAGTACTGAGCACTGTCAGAATACAAGAAAGTTTTAGTCTCCAAATTATTTTGTGAATAAACATGATTTTATTCATGAATGACAGGGGCAGTTAAAAAGTCAAGGCACAAAGTACAATATTTTTGATACCATTCTTTGTCTTTAATGAAAAGTAATATTTAGAATGTAATGGGTCCATGTTAGGAACTACTTGTTAGGAGATAATCTTTCTTGAGAATTCAGAATTTCTCAAGTTATAGTCAGTCTAGATTTGCTAACAGTAAAACAAATCCAGAAGATAAGAATTAGGAAAAACTTGCCCCATGGAACATACATTTATCCTATCCTGGCTGCACTTTTCATCAATGCCTTTTAGTGCATTTTGAGACACCATTATTCTTCAATGGGAAGTGGAAGATACAATCAAGATGAAAATTACTTTGTAGTAATTTTGATTTGAAAATATTTGATTAGATAACATGAATTAAAAAATGTTTGTTAAATTTTGAGGAGATACAAGACATTTATAAAATTTACTCAACGCTTGTAGAATGTTAATATTATAAGCACTCATATAGATACTTGTTTTCCACAGAGTGGTTCAGAATCCAGGACTACTGCTTACTAAGATCAATACCTTTCCTATTTTTTCCTTTTCATGGAATAAGTCTACATAATTGTTTTATTTATTTTTATTTGTTTGTTTGTTTGTTTATTTATTTATACAAGAACCTGGGTACAGTCCAGATGCGTGGGATGGTGAGAGGATTCACCAGAGAGAAAGCGGGGAACAGAACAGGCAGACTGACTGAAATACACTGCTGAGGGAAGCAGCGGGCAAGACAGGACAGGTCCTCCACGCCATGTGGGAATCTCGCTGGCAGGCTGGTATTGAACTTGTGCTGCAGAGGCTGCGGACAGCTTCACAGCTCTGTGATCAACCACCTGTGCCATCAGGGGAGGCCCTACACATTGTTTTAAATGAAAGAAGTTTTAAGGGATCTCTAGCTTAGAAACATCCTCGGGGGCCTCCCTGGTGGCACAAGGGTTTAAGTCATAGCACTGTGAAACCACTGCAGATGAGTTTGATCTTTGGCCAGGGAGGTAACCTGCATGGCATAGCAGACCTCTCCTGTCTTGCCCACTGCTCCCCTCAGTAGTGCATGCCAGTACATCTGCCTGATCTGCTCTCCTCTCTGTCTCTGGTGAATCCACACCTCTGGCCTGTGCCCCAGTTCTTGTATACATAAATAAATAAATCTTTAAAAAAGTGTTTAAAAAGAAAAACTTGTCCTTGTTTGATGTAACATTTATATACCTGGTTCATCTGAAAGGGACTTTTGTTAGCACTATCATTATTTAAGTATCTTGAGTCAATACATTTTTATTGTACAGTAATTTGTGTTCTTTCATATAGAAAAGGAAGAACCAGAGGCTGTACATCATTTACTTTAACTTATTTTTCAAACCATCATCATAGATTTGCTGTAAGACTGCCGTGCATAATGAGAGAGCTGATGAGGGCATAGGACACTCCTTATGGGAATGCTATTATATGTTCCTCTGTGTGAGTGTAACTGATTTAATTACCAGAAGAAAACCAGCAAATATAGTAACCTACATGTCAAGTTTAGGTACAGTTAAGTGAGTTAAATATACCCAGAAGACTCTAAGCTCAAAGAAAATCAAGTATAGGTGAAATAATTCTAATTGGAGATTTCCAAAGATCTATATTATTTAAAATGTCATATCACAATTTCTAGAAAAATAATGCTATTGGAGATTTATCTCATGTATAGTTACATTTTGTTAAACGAAATCTTTTAAGAAAATGTAGGGACTTTTTTAAAAGATTTTTTTAATTTATTCATGCATACAAGAACTGGGGTACAGGCCAGATGTGTGGAACAATGAGAGGATTCACAGACAGAGTGGGAAATAGAACAGGCAGAATGACTGAAATACACTGCTGAGGGAGCAGCAGGCGAGACAGGAGAGGTCTGCCATGTCATGTGGGTATCTTCCTGGCCGGCCAGGATCAAACCCGCGCTGCAGAGGCTGTGGACAGCTTCACAGCTCTGTGCTCAACCACCTGCACCACTGGGGAGGCCCTAATTTAGGGACATTTTTTAAATTGAAATGTCATTTTCAAGAATATAGTTCTTCTCATCAAAAGTTTGAACTAAAGAATTTTCTTCATACGTTCCAAAAATTTACCAAACCATTTAGGATAAACACTGAAGATATTTTATTATCTAACCCTATTCACATGAATTTTGGTTCCCTTGTTAACAAATCAAATACAAGAAAATAACTTCTTTAACTTATTTAAAATTTATAAGTGATCAATATTGATAACTACATGCATTTTTTCACACTGTTGATTGTTTTTTAATTAAATTTATGTTGTCATCATTCTGAGTTTATGTGTAGAGGTATGTGACAACATACCATTTAGAACAAATTCATAAAGAAAAAACATTGTATTTTTCCCTCTGATTATTTTATCAAAATTAAACTTGATTATCATTAAACTTGATTATCATTTTTTATGCCTGTAGGACAATGTCTCAGAATGTGTAGACCTGAAATACTTAAAAAGGGCATTGGCCTTCACAGGAGAACTTGCAGACAAAACTATAGATTTGATATGTCAGCTTTCTTGCTGAGAACTGTCAAACTCTAATAATATTATTTCTTTCTCCCTCACAGTGGAACATCCTGACAAAATGGCTAACGACCAAGGTATGGTGGCCAACCTGTCTTTCTCTCCTTCCTTGAATCAATGCTATCTGTTAGAAATGTCAGTCATTATTTTGTATTCCTCTTTTCACCTGTGCCACACACCTGAGGAAGCAGACACTGGCGTGATAATTAATCTTGTTAATGAAGTTCTGCTTGGCTGAGGCTGTGACTCTGATAGGGAAGATGTAAATTTTCTTGAGAGGAAATTGTTTTGTCTCTATTCTGAAGGACCAATTAAAATGTCAAGCTTCTTTGTATGAAATAAATTTTTAGTCTCTGTCTGCACTTCTGAATAATTCACATTAAGTATAATTAAGCTCAGCATAATTTTCAAGCTGCTCTTGCACCCTTTCATGAGCTATGGATTAAAGTTCCGGAGCTCTACAGAGAAAAAAAACATAAATCATGTGTGCTTTTCCCCTACAATGAGCCTCTTTTAATAAATAAAAACAAAGTTAAGTCAACTTTTTTAGGGCATTACTGTTGTTCATTTGAAGCCAGAAAGTTTCAGTCCATGAATCAGATGCTGATTTGAGTTAGGGTATTTTATCCTTTCTAACATTGTTTTGCCAAAAAAAGCTGATTTTTGTAGAGAAAAAGACATGGTTTTACAAAAAGGAAAATGGAGATAAATAAGAGTTATCCATCATCTCACGGGTAGATGAGAATTTGCTGTTACCATGATTTGTAGGCTGATAAAGTAGGGTCCCAATCTTTTTATACTAAGGATAACTCATGGAATGCCAGCATAGAAAAATAATAGCTTGAGTTTTGTTTTTTTCAGGATACTATATTCTTTAAAGAAGGGGGAGTTTAGAAATGCTAGTAGTCAGCTTGGTCTATATTTGCTGGTTCAGAGTCTACTGCCTTGTGGTTTCTCTTCTGCTTTGGACATCCAGTGGCAGAACTTGTAAGCATCATATTTTCTAAGGCACCATGTTGTAAGATTGCAGTAAACATTCTGTTCAACAAGAATACTTTTTACCTTTTGACAAATATTAACATCTGAATGCTAAGACCTGCTGACAATGGAAGGTACCCTATAAACTAGTAATATTTTACTGAATGGGCTTCTGTTCAGGTTTATGTCTGGATTCTTATACTGTGCCTCTGCTTAAGAGAACATGGCTAGGGCTACATACAAGGGGTTATGGAAATGATGCAATCACAGAAATGTCTACCCAGGATGAACATTTCTATCACCTAACTGCTCCTACTGCTTCCACTTAAAATACCTCTGTAAGATCAATACTTACTCAATAGCAATATTTGAGCTATGGATTAAAGTTCTTTATTATTATTACTTTAATTATTAACTATTTATGACAAAGATAATCAGCTAGCATATATTTAAGTATATTAAATATCAGTGCTGGCCAAGTCCAAGCTGAAGGAATTAATTAGCAAAAGTGGTTTTACTATTTTAGTTATAAAATAATTAACCTTTCATAGCCTTCTGAACTTAAATGAATTTGGAACTTCCATGGGCAGGTAACTATTAATTTTTGAAATTGTATTTAGAAAAAAATAGAGAAAGAAACACAGAAAAATTTCTTTCAAGTAACTGAAACAGACAAAATGTTACCTTATTAGCCACTTAGGTGAATTTCACTTAGGTGAATTTTATCAGGATTCCTTTTACTTGTATTTTGCTGTTTTTTTTTTTTTTTTTCAGTTTACTCTTTTCCTGAATATTAGTTTAAGTTCCCCAAAATTATTTTTTTGTAATTCATTCCTTTATAAAAGGAAAAAGAACTAATTATTCCCCAGCCTCTGGCCACACACTCTCCTTGGATTTTACTCAGATTTTCCCATTGGTGGTGAAATCAGATAGCTATCAGGAACAAAAGAAATTCCCAAGAATTATTGCCAGTTACCAATCTATTACTATATTGGGGCAATTATTCTTTTCTTCATCTATTATTACTTAGATTCTCTTGCTTCTTACATCACTTAGCACCTTTTGCGATCACAGCTGATATATACAGTTGGTTAAATTGACAGGCTCTAAAGTTTACATCAAACTCAAATCATTTGTAAAATTGAGAGGGACTGACAACATGCACTTTAGTGGTTATAAATAAAATCTTTAAATTCTTACAAAGAAAGCACATAAAATTTACTGGCCATCAAGAGCTCTTTGCAAATATAATCAGTCTTCTGAGTTGATGATCAAGTACAAGAGGGATAAACTAGGTTAATTATCCCACTAAGAGTGATGAAAATAATAGGAAAAATCCTTTTCAAATATTCTTACTCTTGGTGCTTAGCAAATCAGTTGACTAAGTTTTACTCTACCAGCTGACCCCTTCCCATGACAGTGATCCCCTGTTACATTTATGACAGAGTTGGATTTTGGTTGAGAGAAGATTACCATTGAGAAAAAAAAAAAAAAAAAAAAAACTTGGCAACTAGGATCAGAGTTAACCTTGCAAAGATGAATCCTAAGTAGAAAAGCAGGAGGTTGAGTTTGACTATGAAAGAAAGTGAGAAAAATTTTGATTGCTTAAAAAAAAGTCTTTGTTGATTCTTGTCACAATTACTTTTCCTTGGAATCTAACATCTGCCCTGAACAACATAAGTGTGAAAAACAAAAGTCAGTTATGTTTGAATCACTTGTTATCTGGAGAGAGGTTTTCTTCTGAGTAATATCAGGAGTATAAAAATGATACACAATTTACATAGAACTGATTTTCCCTTGAGGTAATTGTTAGTTGATTATATCTAACATATTCTTTACCTTCTAATCTCAACCTACTCTGTAAGTCCCTTTGTTGTAGCTCCTTATCTATTCTTCAGGCACTAATTAATTCTTTGACCTCTTCCAGGCACAAGTGACCAGTGAAAGTCATCTTGAAATTTTGAAAGTAATGAGATTTTAGAGATTTAGCCATAAGATTAATTTCTTGGAGAATTAGGTAGAATAGGGGAATTTAATGGGTGATGTGAAGAGGGTGCAAGAGGTAGAGAAATGTCCTGCTTTCAGTGTTTTTTCCATTTTTATTTTCCCTATTTTGGTAAAAACACTGCCAACTTGTCTATGTCTCTATGGGCATGTGCAATGGCAAATGAACCCTTTGGAAGCTCTTACCACCAGAAACTGTTCTATCTGTTGTTAAGTGTTGACTCAGTTAACCCTCCTAACAAGACTGTGAGAGGTTTAGTATTATTGTCTCCATTTTAACAATGAAGACATTGAACTTCAGAGAATCTGACTGTGTAGAAACACAGCTAGAAAGCAGCAAAGCCACAGTTCCAAGCCAAACAACCATGTGGCAGAACCCCTGCTTTTAACCAGCACATGTATTCATCACATACATGCCACCTGTACCCATGTACAGTCAACCCACGTGCTTGCATACAGCTATACAAACTTGCTCTGTGTAAAGTCCTTACAGTTCTTTCCCCTGTACAGTCTTTCTCTCCCCACCACTGTGAATTGTCTAAGGAACAAGGCAGATAGTTTTCAGTTTAGGTTATCTTGTCAGTGGGAAGTCACACCACTGAGTATATGATCCTGAGAATTCTTTATCTCAGGAAACAGCGAGAATGGTGTGAATTCCACACTCTCAGCTAAGAATCCTAATGTAAAAATAGCACAGACTGGGTGGCTTAGACAACAGAAATGTGTTTTCTTGCAGTTCTTGAGGTTAGAAGACTCAGATCAGCAGGGTTGGTTTCTATGGAAAACTCCCTTTTTGGCAGTCACCTAATTGCTGTGACACCCCCCCCCCCCCAGGGCAGGTGGGGAAAGTGCTCTCTGGTGTGTTTTCTCCTAAGGACCTTTATCCTATCCAGTCAGGGCCCACCCATGCAAACTCTTTTACCCTTAATGATGCCCAAATGTTTCTGTTTCTAAATGTAGTCACTTTGGGTGTTAGAACATCAACATATGAATTTGGAGGAAGACACAAGTCAGTTTATAGCATGCACATTCAAAAAAAAATCTTTTTTTCACTCTCACAGTTTATCTTTCCCATTTTCAGATGAGGAAGGAAACAGTAACATTTTGCCCAAGGTCATAGAAAATCCACCAAGATAGAACCCAAACCTGGCTCTTTCCAATCACCAGAGTGTAGACTGCTGCTCCACTGATGAAACATTTCACTTCCTCCTCTAAGCTTAAAGCTTTTAGAGCCTCTCACAGAAGCATTTATAAAAGCCTGTTCTGTTGGGTTTGTGAAGGAGGACAACTATAACTATAAAATATGACATTCTCAAAAGTGATCATGAGAACATTTCATCTCAACAGGTTATCTTTGCATCCTTATATTCTGTTGACCACCTCATATCGCCCTTCTGCTTTGAGGTGTTTATTTGTAAAAGTGCCTAATTCTTCACATGAGCTAAGAATGCTGACAGTTGCACATTGTCCCATGCCTGCTGCTTTTAACAATGGAGCAGGTGCTGTGGTGGGGGAGAGTGTTTTAATGAGGGCAAAAATCCTCACAAAAGATCTGTATCATTGCCGAGCTGAATCATGAAGAGAATGCTTGCTTCCAGCACTCTCACAGATTCCTTAATTTTCCACAGTCCACAGAAGAGTCATCTAAAACACCAGACCTAGAAAAGGGGGCTACTGTGTGGCTCCACAGGAAGGCTCTTCTCAGAGGGAGGGCTTTCTAGGGAGGCTGGTGACTGTCCCGGGAGGGGAGGCAGTGCTAATGACCCCTCCAGGTATTCCATAAGCCCTGGAATGGAATCATGTACCTCTCACTCTACTGCCATCTTGCACTGTTCCTCCTGTGTGATTCTGGGGGGGACGTGACTTCTGTCAGCATCCTCATCTACAAAATGATGACCTTAACTCAAATAATGTTTTGGTTTCTTTCAAGATTTAAGATGATCAAACTTTACATTGTCTTTGGAAAAATACACTAACCTCACACCTAGTGCAGCATTTCATCTTTAATCATCCCCACTACTTCTCACTCTTCTATGTACTGTGTATGTCCCATAAGATTTAATTCTCAGTCCTCCCTGGTCACACAAGGGGTTGA